ACTGCCCACATCCCTGTGTACCATAGCGGCCCACTTGCAAGCTTGAAAAGGAGGCAGAGTAAAGGGGAAGGGACATATTTTGTCTGTTGACTCTGTTCTCTTTATGATGCACATTCATATGCCTTTGGTAGTTCTGCACAGAGGAAGGGAGGAAAAAGAAAGAGACTCAGAAGGACAGGGAGATGGGGGAGAGAAGTAACAGAACAGGGGAGATACTTTTTTTTTATTTCCGCAGTGCGGAGAGATAACTTCTGCTTAATAACTTGAAGCCCTCACACCTTAGAACTCTCACACTCTAGACCCTGGACTAAATGAGACCGATTGAGACGACAACACCTATTCAGCACCAAACCAGCTCTGATGTACAATACTCAAGGATGAGTGTGGAAATGGATCAGGGAATTATGAAAGAGGGTGAAGTGGTATGGAGGGGTTCATGGTCATCTAATCATGGAAAACTAAATGATATTCCCTACATAAGTTCCCTTGATCACCTCCTTGTGCCCCCTTCCATCATACTGTCCCCAGCCTTCCCCCTTGGATCCCCCCAAGCCAGTAGCCATAGAATTGATTAATATGTTGTTGAATTTCAGCATTTGAGGAAAGGTATTTGATTCTTGCTTCCACTTTCTCCCATTGAATTGTAATGTCAGTTTGGATTTGCTGCTTGATGGGGGATGTAGTGTCCTTACCTTAACCCCCCCCCACACACAACACCACCCAGGCACGTGTTGCACACTAGCTCCATCAAGCACATGACCTCAAAACACGAGGGCACACAGCCCCATCCACAATATCCACAACTTCACACTAGGGGGGCCTGAACCCCGACGGCCACCACATTTCTGGTACTATTTCCAGGGCTGGTACACACACGCGCGCGCGCACACACACACACACACACACACACACACACACACACACACACACACACACACACACGCACACACACACACACACACACACACACCGAACTAAGAAAGAAAGAAAGCAAGCAAGCAAGCAAGAAAGAAAACAATTGTGAAAACGTGGCCACTTACTTTTGCCGTTCACATTCGTTTCGACTTTCAATGACGATGAAGGAGTTCTTACACGAACAAGGATGGAAACCCACTCACCGAGAGCTCTGCTACCTCCACCACCTCCTCCATGGAACCAACACATCTACAGCTACAAGTCAATCCTCCTTCAGAGACAGCAGACCAACTCGCGAAACACAAGGATCGCATTTCAACTTGCCATTGGTCTGCCACACCACCAATTTCTCCCTACTGCGAGGCCAAACAATCAGCAGTTCTTCACTCCTGCCGATGCCAACAACAGAGCTGAGCATCCGTAACATTGGTTTCCCACCATGACGACAGGAATCGCGACAACGTGTTGTTGCAATCGGTTTGAGCATGCACAAAGGCACTCGAAGAGGGAGTGAATGCGTCTAATTGACGCAGAGCGTGTCACAGCTCTCTACGGCCCAGTAAATACTTGGACAAAATCATGTGTGCAACCAATCTACACACCTGCTTGAAGGAGCAAATCCTCACGAGCTATTTTTCATGAAAGAGTAAGGTATTAAAAAAATGGGGGCAAGGAGCCATCACCAATGCCCCCTTCTCATATCAATGGCAATCTCTCTCTCTCTCTCTCTCTCTCTCTCTCTCTCTCTCTCTCTCTCTCTCTCTCTCTCTCTCTCTCTCTCTCTCTCTCTCGCTCGCTCGCTCGCTGTGCCTCTGTGTGTGTGCGCGCGCGTGCGCGCGTGTGTCAGTGTCTGCACACGTGTGTCATAAAATGCCTTTATAAGGCTTTATTTTCGTGAAAAGTTGAAAACCAATTACCTTTCGGATATCGTATGGGGCTTGGCAATGCGTGTGGGCATTTCACCCTCTCTCTCCCCTCCGACAGTCCCCCCCCGAAAGCTTGACTCCTATGTTTCGATTTTTGTTTTCCATTCATCCACCCCACACCCTCCCTCTCATCTCCCTTCATTTCCCTCATCTATCTTTCTGCCCCTCTATGATCTGCTCTTTGCTCGCTTACTCTCTTGCTCTGTGTGTGTGCGTTTTTTTCTAAACCCCGTATTCTCTCTCTCATTCCATCGACGAATCATCTTAAACCATCCATCTGTGCGTGTGTCTGTGTGTGGATTTATTCCCACACCCCTCCCTCCCTTTCGCCCAGCTTATGCCCCTGCATACCTCTTCACCACTTATTCTCCTGCAACCACTTCCACAAGCCAGCCAACACTCCCTCTCTCCATTTTCTTCTCCCGACCTCTTCCTCTCCCTTAGAACTCTGTCCGTTTTTTCTATCTCGCCCTTTGCCTCTCTGCATGTGTGTCCATACTCCCAGTGTCGTTAGTGGCTCCACTACTAATCTGGAGTCGTAGCACTCGTAGATTCTCACTTGCCTGATCTCTCTCTTCCTGTCTTCCTCCCACCTTTCCTCCTCCCCCTCCTCTTTTCCTCCCGCTTTCCCTCCTCCCTGTGTCACGTATACCTTAGGCATAACCCACCATCGCTCCGCCCACAATCCCCAGCCAGGTCATAGCAAGCACACATGACACGGAACTGTAATTAATGATCAGCGGGGAAATATTAACTCAGTCAGGAAACTGTAATGATCAGAGGGAAGAAGTCAAGTGTGTCAGGCCTGTGTCTGTCATCATCAGAGGACAAACAGCATTAGCCAAGGAGTCCCGACTATTTGGAATAGTCGGGACTGTCCCGGTTATTCAGAATAGACAGGACAGTCAGGATGATGATGATGACCAGAACTCAAGAGCTTATAAGACAAAAGAACTTTAAAGAAGTAAAAAAAAAAGCGCACTGGAACTCAGCACAGGGTTGGCAATCTCCAACAACCAAACAGCTGAAAGCATAAACATCGGAAAGCGGATGACTTCAACAAGAGTGAAAAAGAACAAAAACAAGCCCTTTCCCCTCACAAGCCTTAGTAGCATATCACAGCCATGCATAGAATACCATACCATAGCAGTGGAATAAAAGCTTAAGTATAGGTTACCATTTCATAGCCAAGCAGTGATACTGTGACAAACAAAAGCATGCCCAGGCACTGACGACACAAAGTAGAATATGACGGAGTGGAAATACTAAGCAAACTTCTAAGTGTACTAAGCATACCAAACATACGGAGCATACTACGCATAGTAAGCATAAAGAGCATACTAAGCATGCCAAGCTAAGCATACTAAGCATACAGAGCTAAGCAATACTAAGCATACAGAGCTAAGCGTACTAAGCATACAGAGCAAAGCATACTAAGCATACGGAGCTAAGCATACTAAGCACACAGAGCTAAGCATACTAAGCATACAAAGCTAAGCATACTAAGCATACAGAGCTAAGCATACTAAGCATACAGAGCTAGGCATACTAAGGATTGGGACTCTTACAGAGCTAAGCATACTAAGCATACTAAGCATACTAAGCATACTAAGCATACTAAGCATAGTAAGCATACAGAGCTAAGCATACAAAAATACTAGGCACAGTAAGCATACTAAGCATACTATGCATACTAAGCATACTAAGCATACTAAGCATACAGAACTAAGCATACTGAGCATACTGAGCATACTGAGCATACTGAGCATACTGAGCATACTAAGCATACTGAGCATACTAACCATACTAAAAGCTAAGCGTACAGAGCTAAGCATACAAAGCATACTAGGTATAGTAAGCATACTAAGCATACTAAGCATACTAATCATACTAAGCATACTAAGCATACAGAACTACGCATACTAAGCATACTAAGCATACAGAACTACGCATACTGAGCATACTGAGCATACTAAGCATACTAAGCATACTAAGCATGCTAAAAGCATACGAAGTACACAGAGCACATCACACTATACCAAACTTGCATGGGATATCATAGCATAGCCTACCAAGCAGACAAAACATAGCAGACTAACCGTAGCAAACTTGCATGGGGTACCATAGCATAGCATACTCAGTATACTAGGGGTACTAAGCATACAGAGCACAGCACACTAAGTATAGCAAACTTCCATTGAATACCTTAGCATAGCATACTAAGTATACTAGCATAGCATACTATGTGTACTACACATACAGAGCTAAGCATACTAAGTATACAGAGAATAGCAGTCTAAGCATATGCATGGGATACCATAGCATAGTCTACTAAACACACAGAGCAAAGCAGACTAAGCATAGCAAACTTGCATGGTATACCATAGCATAGCCTAGAGCATAGCAGACTAAGTATAGCAAACTTGCATGGGATACCATAGCAGAGCATACTAGTCATGCTAGCATACTAAGCATACAGATCACAGCACACTAAGTATAGCAAACTTTCATTGAATACCATGGCATAGCATACTAAACATACTAATTAAGTATACTAGCATAGCATACTAAGTGTACTAAGCATACTAGCATCGCATATGAAGCATACTAACCATACTAAGCATACCAAGCATACTAAGACACTAAGCATACAAAATATATTAAGCATAGTGAGAATACTCAGCATACAGAGCACACCACACTAAGTATAGCAAACTTGCATGGGATACTTTAGCATAGCGTAGAACCGCGCCGGTAGTGGAGAGGGGTGTGGGATAGCTGGGTACCTATAGCATGCACCAATGAAGCATCCAATTTCATCCACAGACTAGGGCCATTCCAAATAGCATTGCACACCATCGAAAAAGACGTCGATTCCTCAAGGGAGGAAGTTTTGTGTGAATCACGCTATCTATCGATGGAACCAAAGATAGATAGATCGATAGCACTACAGTTGTTGTGAGACAGAGAGAGAGAGAGAGAGAGAGAGAGAGAGAGAGAGAGAGAGAGAGAGAGAGAGAGAGAGAGAGAGAGAGAGAGAGAGAGAGAGAGAGAGAGAGAGAGAGAGAGAGAGAGAGAGGTGGCGAGGTTGAGTGAACCCCCATTCCGCAGCCATAGATAGCTAGACAGTTCTGCGCCATTCCATGTACAGGGCAAGAGATACGAAGAAGCACTTCATTGCACATGGAACAACTGAACCATTCCTATTCACCAACCCCGTCCATTTTTCGCCTGCCCATCAATTCCGATGTCGAATCGCCGATCGACGAGCCGATCCACGTGTCTGTGTCACAACTCGCAGTTTGCAGTCCCGCCGTACACGAAGGAAGAACAGACTCCGAACATGTAACAAGCTGATCCACGAGTCGCCGTCACAACTGGCAGTCCGCAGTCCCCCCGTACACAGAAGAAGAACAGGCTCCAAACATGTATTTTCCGCCGTACGCAAAAGAAGTATGGGCTGTGAAGATGTACGGACAGGATTCTTCAATCCTGACGACAGGCAATTGACGACTGACGTGGAGGCCCTCTACACCCTACGACCACAGCAGAGCACACATCAGTGAGCGATGCTTGTCCATGCAATAGGTTCTAATTAACAACAACTCACCATCCCGGTGGGCAGACGGCTCTGATGCAAATCTTGCCACGGGCAAAAGACGAAAAGATGGCAAGAGCGCCGAATGGACGGACAATATGTACTGATCCTGCGGCTTTCCGCATCAATGAAGACAAAGGAGCCGACAACGCCGTCTCATATCTCACACGTTGTTCGCGGAGCCATGCTCCCGGGAGCTCATTATTGCCTTAGGTGATAGTACGAGCTGCAATCACAAGCAGAAAAGAGGACACACAGCATACGACTGTGTCAATAACAGTAACCACATCCATAGAGCGACCTCTGGACTAGCTCAGGAGTTCTGTTGCCAAGTGCCAGGATCAATAAATAATTCGATTCTTTCTGTGCTATTTAGCATGCCGCCAGCGTTCATCCTGAGCCAGGATCAAACTCTCCATTGAATCCAAAGCTCAAAACCTAGGCTGCTTTCGTGATTCAGTAACAGACTAGTTCAGGAGTTCTGTTCCCTCCAGTTCTTACCGCCTTTTTGTTTCTGTCTTTTTCACCTTCTTGGAGGCGACAGCACTGGAGGCAATCAGTGAAGCCCTTACCAGGAAAAAAAAAAAAAAGAGCCAGGACCAAAAGCACAACAGGAAAGCAATAACAAGTGGAGAATCTGGAGATGAAAAATGAAAAGAGAAGAGTGCAAAAAAAAAGGGAAAAAAACTTCAAAAAGGAATGCGAAGAAACGGACCAGAAACAAAGACAGACAGCCACGGCAAAGAGGTGAAAAAAAAAAAAGAAAGGAAAAAACAAAAACGGAAGGCACCACAACTGATAGAGTGCTGATAAAAAAAAAAAGGAAGGGGGGAGATAAAAAAAAAAAAAACAATAATAATAAATTGTAATTGTTGTCGCCTTACCGATCAGCAAAGCCAAGCCACAACTAAAAATAGAACAGGGAAAGAGATCAGGTCGGCGGCATAGCCCAGTTGGTAGAGCACGAAAGTGGCATTCAGGAGGTCGTGGGTTCTATTCCCCATGGTCTTCATTCGAGCCCCCACTGGTAGGCCTCCTGCGGCTCGCTACGGGTTCACCAGCTGAGTTAGTCGCTTCGCCCCCACTGGTAGGGCTTGGTAGGGTCAGGTTATTCCCTCCCATCTGTTGCCCAGGGTTAGGAGGAAGCTGCGGTGCTTAGACATGTGAGGAGGTTGGTGCCAACCCATAACTCTTAGGGCCCCCAAAACTGGACTTAGATAAGAGGTTAGATAGAGTGAGGTGCGAGGATCTGGGTCCTCGGCAGGCCTAAGCGGCCCCTGTTGCATATGTGCCCGCCCTAAGTGAAGGCGGGCCTAACAAATCATGATAGGCCCTCGACTGACAATTTCGTATTTGGGGGTCCAGACAGTTGCGACACGCCAGTTGGTTAAGCGAAATACAGGCCGAGCAACAAAGACATTCCACGGCCTTCTGGGCCTATCGAAGAATGCAGGCCCTGGGCGAGAATCGCAGCCTCATACACTGACAGTTGGGAGGCCCAACCGAAAGAGGCCCAGTAGCTGCAACACAAGCGCAGCATCCTGGGGCCTACCGGAAGCTTCTGGGCCCAGGCCAGTCCAGCCAGGCTGCGAAGGCAGGAGGCTCTTTCCATATAGGAAAGAGCTCGCCACCGGCAGAGGCATTCGGGCACTTGCGTGCTAGTGGCAGCGCTGCTGGAGCGGACGCTCGCAGGCTGTAGCTGGCGCTGAGAGGCAAGGTGCAAGCACGTGCGGTCGTGTGTGAGTGAGGGTGATGTTGAGGACAGCGCCAGAGCCCAGCATCCATAGCTGGATGGGCTTGGACTACAGTGAGGCGCAGGGGGTGGTCTTCGGGTGTATAGAGGGAAGACGTGGGTGTCAGACGAGGGAGAGAGAGAAGGATGATGATGATGATGATGATGATGATGATGTGAGGGCACATACCTGGTATTGGCGATGGTCTGCTACGGGCGACATCTTCAAGTACTTCGTTGGCTGCTGACGTCAACGGTTGCATTGTCAATTAGTAGGCTAGTAGTAGCTGTGTAGGGAGTAGGCTGGGCGCCCAGCGCCAAGTAGGGAGAAGGGCCTGGATACATATGTTGGTGGTGGCGAGAGCAAGCTCTCATTGACATTGGCTTTCAGCGTTACGATTCTCCATTGGTATCTTATTGGTGCAAAGCGGCTTTCTGAACACTGTGATACGATCTGGCTTTCAATGTGATTGTGCAATCTGAATATTGTCATCTCGCTTTTGCTCATTTTCCTTGCAGAGGTATATGAGCGAAGAATATAGCTTAGTTTTTCAACCAAAAAAAATCCTTTTACGAAAGAACAGGAAAGAGATGACTTGGTGGCTCCCGAGATACTGGCGAAAATGCTCACTAAGTTAAGTGTGTTCAGTAGGGCACTCATACTGAACGCCTCCATCTTCTCTAGCTGTAGTACATTAGAACAATATGGAGTCCTCCATCTCAGATAGTCAAGAAGCTCAAGTGGGAACAGCGGCCTTTTTATGGACAGAACCCCACTAAGCAGCACTTCATCTCGAAGGTAGCATGGAAGCATATCATCAGGCCAAAGGAGCAGGGGGGCTACCTTCTTCCCCCGAACATAATGCATATGCGTTGTAAACGAATACAACGCATAGGGTGCGCTCTATTTGGATACAACACGTACGTGTTCTATCCGAATAGCCCCAATTTTTGAATATAACACATGCGCTCTACTTCGAAATTTTTTCAAATTCGGAAACTCGAATACAACACATATGCATTATGTTCGGGGGAAGAAGGTAGGCATTTTGGATCCGGAGCAACAACTGGAACCCCTCCAAACCAAGTGGGTTGTTAAGCCTATCACTCACCCCCAGCTGCTGTGGGTGCCACTGGCCCTGGAGCACATCCGGCGGTTGGCTAAGTACAAAGCCCCCTCTAACATGACCGGACTATTCTGGCTAACGTGTGAAAACCGGGCCAAGAAAGGAAGGGAGCAGGAGAGGGGGCAGAAGAGACGGGAGCGAAGGGAGGCTCGTACTGGGCGTAGCTCCTCAGGCAGTGTGGGGACATCTTTCTGGCGAGAGTAAAAGAACCAGCACCAGGGAAGAGTTGCTCCGTCAGGCTTTATTCCTCAACCCCTGGATTAAGGACCCTCAGGGGAAACCCCGCACCCTCACCGCAAAGGCCTCCAAATGGGGGACATGGCATAGCACGGCATATGGCAGGTTAAGCACCTCTGGTTGGAGGAAAGACACCAGTGGAAGAAAGCTCGCGAGCCACAGGTGGGGATGAAGGGGAGTCACAGACTATTGGAAAACCTAAACGGCGTGCTTATATCCATCCCGGCGGAACGAACCAGACTACTGGAAGCGGCCCAGCAGTGGGGTACGGGGAACATGGCAGAGCACGGCATATGGCAGGTTAAGCACCTCTGATTGGAGGAAAGACACCAGTGGAAGAAAGCTCGCGAGCCACAGGTGGGGATGAAGGGGAGTCACGGACTATTGGAAAACCTAAACGGCGTGCTTATATCCATCCCGGCGGAACGAACCAGACTACTGGAAGCGGCCCAGCAGTGGGGTACGGGAATTGGGCCACATGGCACTTCAAGGAAACACCAGCAGAAGGCTTCAGGGTAGCGGGGCCGACGGGACCAGGAGGACACTGGCTGAGTGCAGATATGTTCTCAATAGAAGTTCCAGGAGCCTTCACAAGCCAATTGCAGAAGGCAACGTGCACCCTGATCACAATAAGAAGAAGGGTGGGGCGCAAGGTACGGGTGGTGGAGACGGAGGACTTCACGATCTTCGCCCCAGCAACCTCAGTGGAGGATCTGGAAGTCGATCCCGTAGAGTGCGCACGGAATCTCACAGGAGTTACACTAAGGATATCCATTGGAATCAATCAACTACACTATAGACTTCACGATCTTCGCCCCAACAACCTCGATGGAGGATCTGGAAGCCGATCCCGTAGAGTGGGCATGGAATCTCAGGGGGGTTACACTAAGGATATCCAGAGGAATCAATCTACTACGCTATACAACAAAAACGGGATATCGACTCAGAAGAAAGTCGTACCCTCTGGCGGAGCCGCTAGCCTTGTGGTGGGAAAAGCACATGGGGGTGATTAGAGGGCAAGTATCCCACCTACCCTGGTCAGTGTTGCATACCATATGGCTAGGCAGGGTCATGCAATGGCTGATCTTACATGTCCCACTACCAGTCAATACATGGCCGTACGAGCGCCGCAGTCAACACCATAGGGCCCCTTCCGGTCAAACATGCGCACAGTGTAGGGAGCGGGTCCCAAAGACAATGGCCCACTGCCTCCTGTCTTGCCCCGATGTGATATACCTATGGGAGGAAGCCAAGGCATTGTGGAGACGGATTACGGACATCCCCTTCCCGGAGGATAAGAGGACGCTGCTTGTAGGCAGTGAGCTCCCCAGGACTTGGCAACAACACCAGAAATGCATATATACAGCTGTTAAGACAGTATGGACTCTGGACAATATGGAAGCGCAGATGCCAACGGACGATCGGGAGGAGGCAAACGCACAGGCTGGAAGCAAGGGATACATACCACAACCTTCTGGAAACAGACATCAGAGCACGGTGGCAAAGGCTATGAAGACAAGTCAAGGAAAGGTAGCAAGAATAGAGGGGGCCAGTTTGTCATTCCACTGGCTCACAAAGGGACAGCAACAGGACCCAACAGGGAACAAGAGCCATTGGTCCCAAGTAGGAGGGGTATAGGCTTGGGTAGGGAACTAAGATGGTGGGCAGGGTTTAGTGTTTACAAACTCCCAGGTACGAAACATGGAGTGAGGATTTAGGGGTAACAGCTTAACTAGCCTAGCTCTCACCTTTCTAGTCCAGTTTCACCTTTTGTTGAAGTTTGCAGTCTTGGGTCGCTGGACCCGGTTTCCAGCACAAGCCTAAGCTGGGTAATGGCCCCCAGACACGTCCGGGTTGAGGTGTCAAGGAATTCCCGGCCTCAGATTTTCATCTATACTCTTACTAAAGAGCGGAGCGAGTCTGTCGTGACGCCGCTGCGAAGGCCAATTCGCACCGTTGGGAAAACGGCCCTTGGTGACATAAGTGGGCCATAGTCTTCTTTCCATAAGTGGGCCCAAGTCTTCTTTCCATTTGAAATTGATACGCACTTGGTGTTTCCTCGGGGGGGGAAGAGGGGGGGCCGGGGAATAAACAGGAAAGAGATAGCAATGGGAATGGAAATGAAGAGGGGAGGCCCGCAATAAATTTGGTTTTGTGCATTTTGAAAAAGAAAAAAAAGATGAAGGAAAAAGACTGATGCTGGGCAATGGGAGGAACACCGCAAACCTAACTGAGGCTTGGTTCCAGGGGCCTACCCGCAGAAAAAACCTTGTTCATCCGTTACTGATCGGGAACGAAGGGGGAGGAAGAAAGGGAGGGGAAGGGGGAAAGAGGGGACGGGGAGGGGGGGGGGGGGGAGGAGGGGAGAAGGAGGAGGACGAGAAGGGAAAGAAGAAGCAGCACACAAGCAGGGACTTGCAGGAACAACTGACACAAAAGAAACCAGGACGCAGGCATAGCCATAGCCACAGCCATAGCTTGTCTCTCTCACGGAGGAGGGGGTGGAGGGGAGGGAGGAAGGAGGAGGGGGAGAGAGGAGGAGAAGGGAAAGAAACAGCAGGACACAAGAAGGGACTTGCAAGACAACTGACATGACAGAAACCGAGACGCCGGCAGAGCCAGAGCCAGAGCCAGAGCCAGAGCGGATGTCTCTCTCACCTGTGAGCCATCGCGCGTAAGAGAGAGTGTTTCAGCTCCATGCAGAAGTCCGTGCTTATGTGCCTGACTCATCATCCTCCTCTTTCCTTCCAGGTACTTTTCATAGGCATACCAGCCTATGCCCGTGGAGTTTATCAACAAGCCAAATAAATTTGTAGGATTTATCTGAAAAATATGAGGCGGGGGGGGAAGGAACAGACGACAAATGCAGAATGAGTTCAACGTTAGCAAGAACTAATCCAAAAAGTTGTGAAAATCAACTAACAAAAAAAAAGGGAAAAAAAAAAAAGGAGGGAGAGAGCATCATGCAATCTGTCCCACAAACTGTTCCATCCAAACGGCTGGGGGGCCTGAGGCGCTGGGCCCATCAGATTCACAGCGCAGCGGGACTTGCGCGACAGCATCATGGGAGATAACCCTTTTTTTCTTTTCTTTCCTTTACTTCACTTTTTTTTTTGTGTGTGTTCTTTCTTTTCTTTTCTTCTCTTCTTTTGTTCCCTTTTTTCCTTTTTTTCCCTTTTCCTTTCTTCCAGAGAGTGAGGCCTGTCATTCAAAAACAGAGTCAATCACCAAATTGAGACAGACCAACAGGGAGAAGAAGAAAAAAAAGAGAGACTCACCAACACATCATTAAAGGCAAAAAGACCGCCGACACCCTGAATGATGGATTTCGTCCTCCCTGCAGACAAACAGCCACAAATAATAATAAAAAACTTAAAAAAAACTATCTATAAAAAAGTTAAAAAAAACTGTCTATTACAAAAACATCCAGGGACACGCGGCAGTCTCAGACTCACTGATACCCAACTAGGAAAAAACGGACCAAATTTCTTAAGAGATGACAGTGCTTTTTGAAAACTTCTTCTTTTTCGTTCTTTTCAATCTTTGTCTTCCTTTTTCTGAGAATATTCTATTTTTTCCCTTCTTCATTTGGTGCTAGAAGCCTTCCTCTTTGTCCTTCGGGACATCCGTTAAAATTGGAACTATACAGAGAAGGAAGATTAGCATGGCCCCTGCGCAAGGATGACACACATAAATCGAGAAATGTCTGAAATGGTCCATTTTTTTTCCAAAAAGGAAAGAAAAGAAGCCTCCCTCTTTTTTTTTTAATTTTTGAAAAAGGCGACGGCCATGAGACATTATCATGGAACTGACGGGCCCCAGGTAATTCACAACTATTTCGTTGTGCTCATCGGATTACATCTGGATTCGAACTCGCCACTTGGGTCTGTATTTAAACAGCTCATGGGTCTACCGACCGAGCTAGGCCCGTTTGCAAGGAATCAGACCCCTAACCCATGCTGAAAAAGGCCCTGCCCGCCCTAAGTGAAGGCGGGCCGGGGAAATTCAGGTCGGTCCCAAGTGGAGGCCAGTGTGCAGGGCCCCAAAGTGGTCGGCAGAAGTCAACCTCTGCATCGAACTGACAGGCCTCTCCATCGAACTGCTAGCCCTAGAAGTTGGTAATAGCTCTCAGACCCAGCAGGGACGACTCCTCAAGAAGAAAAATATGAGAGGCCGCGCATTCAGGATATTCTGGCATTTTCCAATGTGGCAGGTCTGCCCGAGCAGAAGCAGAGCGCTAGCGCCCGCGAGGAGAAGCTGCTGCGGTGGTAGCGAGGAAACAGAGCACCAGCCAAAGGCGACCGGGCGCTGGTCTGTTGAGTGGTGGAGGTGTGGAGGTCGGGCGCTTCGATGTATGATCTGCCCACGCCCTGAGTACTCCAAATGAGGAAGATGGCGGTGAAGACATTTTTTTCAATTAGCCAAGCATTCTGTTTAATCCTGATTCTAGTTGTGTGGCTTTTGAATCTTTTCCAAGACTTTTTTAAAGTTCTTTTTATATCTTTTCCATATATGCTCCGAACGTTTCTGTCTTGTGTGATTGCTGAGTCATGAGCCGTTTGACGGACATCTTGGATCAGGGAATCGCATGAATCATGTGCCATTTGACAGACATCTCTGACGAGGGAATTGCACTATGAATTGCTGATGTAGAGCTTGGACGATTGTTTCGACGCATAAAATCTTGTGATGGTTGGGTGAATCTGGTGTGAAGCCTGACCGCTGGAGAGCTGAATTTTATCTTACCACACACAC